TAGCATTCATTCCCCACGCCGCGGTCCATCCGAAGGCCGCATAGCGAGCCGGCAGGCACCTCGTTTTGAGGAGCTGGAGCCTCTCGGGCTCACGAGAGGCCATTGGCCGTCCTCGTCCAGTGATCACGGATCTTGTTTCGGATCCATAGCCTAACTGAAACTAGTCCTCACAGCGCGGCTCACACATCGTTACCTGGCACCAGGTAGAGCCAGACAATGTAAGCTTGCGCATCCGGTGTGCTCTGCACATGCTTTGCAGCGACGTTGTCGTCAGTGAGCCACGAGCGTGTATCTCCGAACTCTTTTTGTCCCTTCAGCACTGCCCGATAATGTCCCCTGTCCGGGCGCTCCCCAAAGTGAGCCTGGTAGGCAGCTGGTTGGTAGGAAAGAAGCGTAACTTCTAGTCCCGGCCCTTGGAACATGGGAACATGAATGGGGCCGTAGTGGCCTCGAAGAGGTCGGATGTCCCTCGTCAAGTGGCCGTCCGGATTGGCAAACCTTAGCAGCTGCAGTATCAAAAGGGGTGGAGGCGGGTACAGAAGACCTCGGATTGCCGCCTGTGCATGCCAGCGGTCAACGCTCCACTGGAGATTGCAGTGTTCCCCCTCACCGGTAGCTAGAGGGATTGGGCTGCGTAGGTCACCACTATCAAGAACACGGATGCTGTGATCTCGGAGCTCCCTGGCCTGCCATTCTCCCATTTCTGACCCCGGCACGATCCTGGGTAACAGGTAGTGAATGAACTCTGCTGCATCGTGCTGTTGGTGCACATGCCTCCACTGCTGAAGCAGCAGAGACCATTGCAGCCCCGTCATGACCTTGGTAACATGCTGGGAGGGCTTAGGAAGGCAAAAGAGTTGTAGGCACGGGGCCATTGTCAAGGTGGCAAGCCCGTGCAACCGAGCCTGAAGCACGGTCCAGAGAAGACAACTGATGGTGGAATTGATGTAGCATAACGAGGTAGAGTTATGCAGGGAAAGCTGGAGCGTGGCCTTGAGGGCCTTGATGGTATCTGGCCGGTTCACCACCGATTCAGCTGGTAGAGCTCCTCGATCGTGTTGTCGTAATGGGGCCGGTCCTTTCGCAATCGGCACCCAATGGTGTGCCAGGCTGCTTGCCCCACCCAATCTTGCAGGATCGTCCAGATCGGGGTTCCTGATGGCCGTAGCGACACTTCGATCTGAAATTGTATCCACTGAGCTGTGGGCTGGGGCACCAGTTTCCGAACACTCTTGAAGTGGTGTAGATTGTCCTCCGTGACGTTCTTCCTGATATCCACCAGTTGCTGCAGGAGGTCCGACGTGGATTTGGAAGGCGCTGCCTCCACCACCTCCAGCTTCTGAGTGTCGTGACTCCATCGGAGCACTTTCCAATGGCCATGTTCGTCCAGCCACCCAAGCTTTTTGGCCTCCTGTACGGCCTCCTGGTTCGCCGCCGTTGCCTCCAGCCTCTCGTGCAACGTCAGGAGAAGCTTTTTGAACATTGCAATCTTGAGGGAGTACGTGAGCTTGTGCGGCTCCTGCTCCTTCATCTCTCTCCAGACTTCCGCCGTCCGAAAGAGGACCGGTATGATTCCTCCCCCCGTCTCGCCTCCCTTCACGAAGAGGTGCATGACCAGGTCCTGGCGAAGAGATGCAATCGTTCGTTCCTGACGGAGCACCACTTGCGTGAGCTTGTGGAGGTGCTCCTGAGTCTTGTCGCCTCCCCATGAATTCGACTGGTCGTTGTTCCATGGTGCCGGGGGTGGCTCGGAACCACCTGTGTAGTCCCCCCAGCTTTGGCTGTTTGTCCAGGAGCTCGTCGGGTTGTGCTTGCTTTTGCCCTTGCCCTTTCCCTTGCCCTTTGACCCTGTCTTGCCCTGGCTTTTGCCCTTGCCCTTTCCTCGGTGGTTTTCTGTTCCCTCCAGGCGCTGGCTCTTCTGTCTGTCGTCCTCCTCCTTCGGGTCGGGGCTCCGCTTCTGGGAGAACCGGTTGAAGAACTGCGACTCCTCCAGGTCTAGATCCATGGGTATCCTTTCCGCCGAGGGGGACATGAAGGGCTTGCAGGAAGGCACAGATACTAATGACCGGACACTGATACCAATGTCTATCTTTGTTCACCGCGCTTTGGCCACAGTACCTACAGGGAAGGACGGTGTGCCTACGGAAACTCCTCACGAGCTGCCTTGCTGCTGCGCTGTGCTTGGGCCAGCTGGAATGCTGGGTTGTCAGGTGGCGCTTGAGACTGGTAGTGTCGGCATGCCACTGTTTGCAGAGTGGACAGCAGTGGCGCAGGTAGGCCTGGACTTGTGGGTTGAGCAGGAGGCTTTCCCAGCCTAATTTGGCAAGGGCCTCCCTAACATTGGGCCACTCATAAAGGGGCCTTTCCTGAGGAATGACCTCCGCAGCTGAGGATATTGAGGCCTTGGCTTTCCCTTGGTCCGGGCTCTCACGCATAGCATGGCACCTGTTCCAACGGATGTGTTGGGACAGGTTGTGCCAACGGCGGAAATCATGTTTACAGAATGAGCAGATCGGCAGGCCTCCCGACCCATGTACCATCTTATCGAAGATAGGTCCATTTTCCTTCTGGGTTTTCTTCTGATGATACGCTGCTTCATGGATGCGGAGGAGACGGAAGGTCCTGAACTGCTGTCCGCAGTCTCTGCACGCATGATGGTGAACACCTAGGTCACCTAGATCCGCCGTGTCGGTGCTGATCTGAGCCGCTTGTAGGGCCGCTGCCGTCTCTCGTACTCGATCTCGAACTGCCGGTAACATGGGGTGTTGTGCCTGTTCCAGGCGCAGAAGGGTCTGTGAGAGGGCCGTGGCTTCTTGAAGGAGCCTCTTGTGTATAGGAGCTACCCTCAGTCGGGCGAGCAGGTTGAGCGTGGATTCTTTGCTGATGTGCGCAAAGGAACGAGCAATGGCACGTAGGTGGCGAGTAGCAACATACTGCATTTGCTGGACTTCCTTGGTACCTGGGGAGGAAGCCGAGACCCCGTACACCAGAGTTGGGAGGACCGTCGCACTCCACAGCCGAACCCGATCCTGCTCGGGCAGATAGCTGCGGGAGCACAGGATGGGCCTTAGTCGCTGCCAAGTTCCGTTGGCCTCCCTGATGCGATGGGCAACCGTTTGCTTGGACGCAGAGTGGTAGCTGAGTATCACCCCAAGATAGGTGTGCTGATCTTTGATGGGGAACTCAAATAGTCTGGACCGCTGGGTGCGGATGCGGAGGTGGTCGCCCTCTGGGGTACGGACTGTATGCTGCCTCATCCACTTCCTCGCGAAGTGTCCTCTGTAGCGAATGAGAAAAGCCGACTTTTTAGCATTGATACACATTCCGTGATCTGCTAATGAATCGAGGATGGTGGCAAATCTGGAACTCGCTCTTTCTAGGGCTTGGTAATTCTCTGCTGTATCCTGTAGCAGAAAATCGTCCGCGAAGGTGGTGGTACCTTGCGCCAACCATTGGGCATCCAAAGACGATGCAAGTTGTTTGTGCATAAAAGCAGTGAGGAGGGCCCATATCAATGGCGCTAATTTGCATCCTTGGCGCAAACCTCTGGACGCCTCTGCTTTCGCCTGTTGGCCCAGATGTTGGATGTGATAAGTTATGCCATCATACCAGGATAAGGCCCACGCACGGAGGTCATGGGGAATGTCGGCGTCCTCCAATGCAGCTTGGATCAGCCCCCAATCCGCAACATCGAATGCGCTTGTGAGGTCCAGCGAGAGTTGGCATCCAGCAAATGCCCTTTGCTGCCGCGGCTTGTTCTCATAAGCGTCCATCACCGTCCTTGATTTGCATTCGCAGGCTTGCTGAACCAGCAGATTGTGATGTTGGGCCCGAGCTATCGCAACTCCAGTGTGCTTGTCCCTCAGGTAGGCATATTGTGGAACTTGTTGCAGATACCTCTCCACGTACGGCCGCAAGCGCTGCTGTAGTATGTGGGAGAGGGCCCGGCCGCTGGCCTCAGTCAACCCGATGGGTCGTAGGTCTCGTGGAGAGACAATCCGCAGCTTCTTCGGTATCAAGACCAACCAGGCATCCTTCCACAAGCCGGGCACTGCTTTGAGGCTTTTAGCCCAGTGGGTTAGAGAGGGGGCCAAGAGGTCCGAGCAGCCCTTCCACATCGCTGTCGATGCTAAATGGGATGGCGTGGCTTTATGAGCTAACAGACTAGACAAGGCCTGCTGAACTTCGGCCTCGGTAACCTCAATGCAGAGCTGGGCCCTGGCCGTGGGTGGAGACTTCTGAGGATCACGCTTGTAGACCTGTTGGTAGTGCACACGGAGCTGTCGAATTTGCGCCTCCGCCGATTGCAGGTACCCATCTTGGCTCTTAAGTTGAACTTCGCTCTTCTTCTTCTTAGGCGCCATGGTGCGCATGCCTGCGAAGAGTGCCCGCATGTCCTTCCTTGCAGCCGCCTGCTGTAGGTCCTGCAGCCGGTTTCCGTACCATTGTTTTCGAGCCTGCTTACCCGCCTTCCTGAAGTCCCGCTGCGCCTGTCTGAACGTCGCGTAGCTTCGCCACACCCGTAGGATGGCTCCTCGCTCTCTTCGGGCTTCGCGCTTCCATTGTGCGTACGCTTGCCACATGCCCTTGATCCCAACCTGCATGGGCTGGGTTTGCCACGCTGTCAGCCTCTGCGGGCGGACCTGTGGGGGGAAGACTCGAGAGGCACAGCGGCACAACAGGGCATTCATGGCTGGGGCATCCACGGCCTCTGACAGGCCGGCAGCGACCGCTTGCCGGAAGGCCTGTAGTTGCGGTGAGTGCGGGTCACGGAGGCAGCGGATGAGTTCCCATTGATTCCATTCTCTCCTGGGTTGCTTTGGCTGATTGAGACTGTGGAATCGATGTACGGGAAGACTGCACAAGACGGGGAGATGGTAGCTTCCTTGGCGCCAGGCCGCAAGGGATGTCTTGACCGGCTTGGCTGTTTTGGCTCGTTGGTCACACTGCGATTTACGGAGCAAGACATGATCAATAAGGGCCTGGCCTTTGGCGTGAAAGTAAGTTGCTCCAGCTTGCCTTTGCCAGGAATTGACCTGGATCATGTGATGGTCCTCAAGGGCTCGAAGAAAGGAGTTTTGGTCGGCAGGGGGCTTCGTGTCTTGCGAAGCACACCTGGGGCCGGCACAGGCTCCTTCTCTTAGGGGGCAGTTAAAGTCACCTGCCGCCAGTACCGTGTGTCTCTGTGGCGCCCTCGCAAGCACAGCCTCAAGGGCTTGCCACACTCGGTTGCGCAGGGCCCGGACTTCATCAGCGGTGTCCCTTCCCTGGCCGATTTGTCTTTGGTAGACATTATAGGTGTCGAGTGTCCAGTCCGGCCTTTGGAGGCGGACGTGTAGCAGGCGGCCTGGGACCGGGTCAGTGTGAAGTACCTGGCCGGTGTTGCAGAGGCTCCGATCGAGGAGAGTAACCACTCCTGCCGACTGGTTGTCAGTGGCCGGTGACGTAATTACCTTCCAACGGCCCGAGTTGAACGTCTGTGCGCATTGGTCACCCCAATCGCTCTCTTGCAGCATGACAACCTGTGGCCTGTGCTGCGGGTCGAGGCTCTCAAGATGCAGGAGGAGTTCGTCCCATAGGGGTCCTGAGAGGCCACCGCAGTTCCAACTGAATAGTAGCACCCTGTCCGGGTCTCGAACCAGGGGCTTCTGTCGGAGGGGTGCGGACTGCTGCCGTGCATCCTGGCCGTGGGCTCCGACATAACTCCTGTGTAGCTGTCTTAGGGTCACGGGCCGGCCTCGGTAGGTGGTATACTGCTCGGGATGTCGAGCCGCTCTCCGGAGTGCCCTCTTATAGGCTCTCTTTCGAATGGCAGTGTACGCAGCCCGGGGCGGTGGCTCCCTGTTGGCTGCACCACGGAGTAGCGGGTCCTGCTGCTGGAGTGCAAGCGCAGATGCAGATGGTTGAAATTGGAGGGCCAGGCCTAGAAGTAGGCCTTGCCACCAGCGGGGCCGCCTCCTGCGCAGAAGACCTGAGCGTGATGATGGGACGCTGTGTGTAGGTCCGTGAGGGCTCGGGCCCTGCGAGGCCAGCGCCTCGTGGCAGCTTGTCTCACATGGATCGGGTAAGGTGCGTGAAAGATGGGCTGCGGTCGAGGCCAAGTGCAGAGCTAGGGTGGCACGGTAGAGCTGTCCCTGCTTCTTGAACACCTTCAATCGGTATCTCTTCCATTTGTCGCAGTTTGGCATCCGCAGTCGCTCGGGCCGACTAAGTTTGATAGTCGATTGACTGGGGGCACCGGTAGTGGAGGATGGGCCCCGCGGGGCGGCCATCCTTGGTTGAGGGCTGATATCAGTATCTGGCTCATGTCTAGGCTTCCCAGAAAAAAGTCTGAAAGGATTCCTCGCTGGTCTCAGTGGTGCGTGACTTACACCACCAACCCTCACCCCTATCAGCCAGGGCAGACGGAATCTTCCAATTCGCAGGGGGGGCCCCCAGGTGAGATGGAGGACCCATGTCTCAGGCTGATCTTCGGCATTGGGACCGGAGTAGCTCACTTGACTTGGTCGATTGTATGGTTTGGTGCTAATGACTTGCTCTTTGCGGCTATCACTCAATGTTGATTGTTCTTCTGATCGGCCCGGGCATTTCCACCTCTTGGTAGGCATCTTAGTCCATCTCTTGAAAGTGAAACAGACTGGCCAGGCTGTTGAGCTCAGTGGCCTCCTTGTCCTGAGACGGAGAGGTGCCGTACCTGGCCTGGTAGTGCTCCGGTATTTTGTTGACTGCCGATCGACGTGCGGGGCCCAGGCGGGGTTGAGCATCTTTCGCTCGCCACCTGTCTGGGCGGGACCGTGTCCAGCCTCCCGTTGGGGTTCGTACCCCGTAGTGCTCCCTGCATAGACGGCAGCTTGGACAGGCCAGCTTGGTTGCTTCTGTTGAGTCGCCTGCCCGGCTTTCGTGGTCCAAGGGCCCGGCACAGACCTGAATTCTGTCATCCTGCGAGGGTGGCCTGCAGCTCCTGAGCCGGGGCGTACACGCACTTCTGTGGACTGTGCTACCCTCAGCTGGAGGTGCTGGGCCCTTGACTGTGTACAGACCAGGCATAGCGCGGCGTTTTGGTAGCAGTCGGGCCAGCCCTGGAGGAGCAGGGCTGACTCCCAGAAGGGTCTGTGGAGAGTCTCTAGCCGTGGGCCTGCTGCCAATGTAATAGGCATACCTGGGTCGAGTTCCGGGCAATATTCAGCGTGGCTCCTGGGGCTTTTGCCGGGATAGAGGTAGGAGTACGGGGCGGTGGTCGGCGCCCTGGCCAAGAGACAGGCCATTCTGAGACAATCACTGGGTCCTGGGGGCAATAGGAACATGCCTGCCAATATGTTCGCATGGTGCTTGGCATTATCATCCGGAAGTATCCAGGGAGGTGGCCTGGACACAAGAATGGATAATAAGGTGTCCGCCTGCTTGGGCCGCTGCCTGCAGTCGTCCTCACGCTGGTTGAGGCTGAGGCAGAGACTGAGGCAGTAGCAGCTCCGGCTCCGATGGCGTCTTGGAGGGACACTGTGCGGAGCACTCTTAGAGGCGAGATGGCTGGGAGTAAGAGCGCCGCCAGTCTCATGGCCGTGGCAGTGCTGATTGGCCGAGCCCCCGTAGACCTGGGAACACAGTTGGTACGATTCCCGTCAGATCTTGGCTCACTGGGGCGCTGATCAGTAGGCAGCATGTATTCTCCCTTCTTCCCAGTCTCAGCCTTGCCGGCGTTCGGTCCCCTTTTTGGGTCCGGCGAGTCTCTCTCATCTTCAGAGGTGAGAAACCAGAATGGTCGCTTGCGCGGCCTTGGTGGATTGGCTCCCTTTGATCCGCTGCTTCGCTCGGTCCTCTTCGGGGGCACCTCGTCCTGGGCCTTGTCGATCTTTCGGATCTTCTGCAAGCGTCGGCAGGTGACCCTGGATGTCAGGGTCACAGGCCGCCTGGGTTTCTTGGCGACCGGCTCTTCCTCTACTTCCACTTCCACCTCCACGTCCTCGACCATGGTCTCTGTTGTCGGGGTGGACTCCTTCTCTCCTTGGCTGCTGGGCATCGCTGCCGCCGCCGTGTGCGGCTGCTCGTGCGAGCCGGTGGCCCTGCCTTGGTTGCCCTTGCCGTCCTTGTCGTCATGCTGGCCGAGCTGTCCCTGGGCGGCTTGACCTCCTCGTAGCCTTGGCAGCGGAGATCTGGGGCTTGACTGGCTCGCCTTGGTGCTGCTGGAGCGGTCCACCTCGGTCTGGGGCGTGTCACTCTGTTGGCCGGAGACCGTCTTGTCCTTCGTCTTCTCGTTCATGGTCGCCGAAGTCGGGGAAGTCGTCCCCTGCTTGGTGGCTTTGGGCTCCTGCACCGTCGAGGCTGCTGGCTTGATTCTGCCCCTGACCTTCGGGGTGGGGAGCAGTCTGGGCTCAGCCTCCGTCTTCTCCGCCGCTGTCTTCGTCGTCAGCTTGGCCTCCTGTGGTGCCAGAGCCGAGGCAGAAGCCGCACCCTTATGAGGAGGTTTTGCTGGGACCAAGGATCGTAGTGACTGCCAGCCAAGGACCCACCTCGCCGTGTAGAGCGTGAGTGGTGGTGGCCGGAGGCGCCACCTCAGGGAGGCATGAAGGCCATCATCCTCCGGGGGGTCCCCTGGTGGACTGTAGACCAGGTTATTCTTGTCCACCGTCCATACCTTCTGTTGCATGGCCGCGGTGCCCTCCAGCAACTTTATATTGAGGGAGGACCCAGTCGGGTGTCTGTCCCGTTGAATCAGGCCTTTGCAGCCGATAATGCGACGGTGCGCTCCTCCAGTGATACGGACTTCAGTGCCTGGAGTCAGCTCTTCCATCCGGCATATAGTAGAGGAGTCAAGAGGCGCCGGGGGAATACGCGGGGGCTTCTTTCCCATGATGCCCGAGGGGGGTGGCCCCGGCACAGGCCCTGAAGTTGGGCCGGAAAACTGCTGCGGTCCGGTGTGATGCAGGACTGCTGTGGAGCGGCTTCCGGCGAACAGGCCTTGTCCCTTCCGCATATGCACTGGGCTCCCGGCTTGCCACCTGAGCATGGTGTTGGGCCATCTGTGGTGACCAGCTGCGTCTCGCTCTGAGTTTCCGGAGTCGAGTCTCCTGTGGCTTTCGGTTATGGTCTGGCCTACCGCGGAGGTGCATGGGCAGTTGCCTGGGCTCTGCGGATGGACTCGGGAGGCCTGCTTGCCGTTCTCCGCCATGAGGGCCTGGGCCAGGCGGGCGCTACAGAGCTTAGCACAACAAAGGCATAGTCCTCGCCAGCTGGTCCGTGTTTGCACGAACGGGGAGATGCTTATTTTTCCGACCCGCCTGGGAAGAGTCTGGCTGTAGAGGGGTCTGTCTATGTCCCTTGCCCCGTCGGTTGGAGCGGTGTGGCCCGTTGCCTCAGTCTTCGGGTCCCGGAGGCGGATGCGGCTCGATGCAAATCGTAATCTTCCATCCTCCTCTCCAGCTCTGTGCCCCACCTGAAGTCTTCGCTTTAGCCAGTACTGCTGGGGGTCGAGGATTGGCTTTGCTTGACATTGCCACTGAGCCAATGTTCGGTGCTCCGGAGGATATCTTTGGTCCAGGCGGTGGTCCAGTAGGAGGCAGGACCGACATGTGCGGCATGGTTGTCGGAGGCGCCACGTAGGAAGGCGTCGGCAGAGATGGGGCTGTAGCCTTTGCCGGGGTTGTTGACGCCATTGCTGAGCCCGTGGTAGACGGTTCCATCGCTGTGCCCAAGGCCGGGCTGGGTATGGCATGGAAGGGCGAAAGAGGAGGCGGTGTCGTCGCCACTGAGCCTGTTGCTGCCTCCATTGCCGCCAGGGCCTGAACGGGCGTGCTCGGCAACGTCGTGGAGGTTTCATCCTCAGTCGCTGGCACGGGGAGCGCCGGTGTCGGAGGCGGTGGCCCCGAAGTGGGTGAGCGGCTGCGGTCTCCACTGCCCGGGCCTCGTACGGGGACCGGAGGTGGCGGTCCACATGGCTTCGCCCTTGCTGCCGTGGCCGGAGCTGCCGACGCTGCCTCCTCACTCGAGCTTGAGAACCCCGAGATATCCGAACTGGGGTCCGAGCCTCTAGCAGCCTCCTTGGCCTTGGCTTTTGCTCTCGATCTGCTCGGAGCTTTGGCCTTCGCCGCCCGGTCACCTCGAGGCATGGCTTCTGCCCCAAAGGTCCTCTTGAGACACCTGTTCTTTGAGCCCGGCAGGCAGCGGACAGTACAGGCTGAGGCGAGTGCTGTAGCAGGGGCAGATATTGGGCAACTGCTGAGCCTGGATGCTCGGGCGCCGGCCAGCACGTCGGTAAGATTACCGCAATGAGAGCTCTGAGCCAGAGGGTGGCTGGCTTTCGTGCAGCCATCATGCACTCTACAACACATAACAAAATCTAATCCAAGCTGAGAGCCAAG